ATGCATTTAACGCTAATGACCGAACGCCAGATGAGTTATGGAATGACATCAAGGACATCATAGATGAAGAAAGCCAGAGGTAATCAAGAGGACAGGAAAGAAAGAAAAGACCACGATGGATGTCAGAAGAGACTCTGAAACTTGCTCTTGTATGCCAAGTAGTTAAAGTGAGAGGAAGAAATGATAAAGTAAAAGAACTGAAGAGAAGATTTCAAAGGGTGGCTTGAGAAGACAAAGTAAAGTATTATAATGACATGGGCAAAGACCTGGAGTTGGAAAACCAAAAGTGAAGAACATGCTCAGCATTTCTCAAGCTGAAAGAACTGAAGAAAAAATTCAAGCCTTGAGTTGCAATATTGAAAGTTTTTACGGGCAAAATACTGAATGATGTAAGAAGCATCAAAAAAGATGGAAGGAATACACGGAGTCACTGTACCAAAAAGAATTGGTCACTGTTCAATCATTTCAGGAGGTAGTATATGATAAAGAACCGATGGTACTGAAGGAAGAAGTCCAAGCTGCACTGAAGACACTGGTGAAAAACAAGGATCCAGGAATTGACGGAAAGCAATTGAGATGTTTCAACAAACAGATTCAGTGCTGGATATGCTCACTTGTCTATGCTAAGAAATTTGGAAGAGAGCCACCTGGCAAACTGACTGGAAGAGATCCATATTTATGCCCATTCCAAAGAAAGGTGATCCAACAGAATGTGGAAATTATCGAACAATATCATTAATATCACACGCAAATAAAATTTTGCTGAAGATCATTCAAAAGCGGTTGCAGCAGTACGTCAACAGGGAACTGCCAGAAATTCAAGCTGAATTCAGAAGAGGACGTGGAAAGAGGGATATCATTGCTGATGTCCAATGGATCCTAGCTGAAAGCAGAAAATACCAGAAAGATGTTTACCTGTGTTTTATTGACTATGCAAAGGCGTTGAACTGTGTGGAACATAACAAATTATGGCTAACATTCTGAAGAATGGGAATTCCAGAACAGTCAATTGTGCTTGTGAAGAATCTGTACATAGATCAAGAGGCAGTTGCTTGAACAGAAAAAGGGGATACGGTGTGGTTGAAAGTCAGAAAAGGTGTGTGTCAGGGTTGTATTCTTTCACCATACTTATTCAATCTGTATGCTGAGCAAATAATCTGAGAAGCTGGACTATATGAAGAACACAGCATCAGCATTGGAGGAAGACTCATTAACACCCTGTGCTATGCAGATGACATAACCTTGCTTGCTGCAAGTGAAGAGGACTTGAAGCACTTACTGATGAAGATCAAAGACCACTGCTTTCAGTATGAATTACACCTCAGCATAAAGAAAAGAAAAATCCTCACAACTGGACCAATAAGTAACATCATGATAAACAGAGAAAAGATTAAAGTTGTCAAGGATTTCATTTTACTTGGATCCACAATCAATGTCCATGGAAGCTGCAGTCAAGAAATCAAACGACGCATTGCACTGGGCAAATCTGCTGCAAAAGACCTCTTTAAAGTGTTAAAAAGCAAAGATGTTACTCTAAGGACTAAGGTGCACCTGACCCAAGCCACGGCGTTTTCAATTGCCTCATATGCATGTGAAAACTGAACAATGAATAAGTAAGACCAAAGAAGAATTGATGCCTTTGAATTACGGTGTTGACAAAGAATATTGAATATACCATGGACTGCCAAAAGAACGAACAAATCTGTCTTGAAAGAAGTACAACCAGAATTCTCCTTAGAAGCAAGAATGGTGAGACTTTGTCTCACATATTTTGGACATGTTATCAGGAGGTACCAGTCCCTGGGGAAGGACATCATGCTTGGTAAAGTAGAGTGTCAGTGAAAAAGAGAAAGACCCTCAATGAAGATGGATTGACACAGTGGCTGCAACAATGGCCTCAAGCATAACAATGATTTTAGGATGGTACAGGACCAGGCAGTGTTTCGTTTTGTTGTATGTAGGGTCGCAATGGGTAGGAACCAACTCAATGCCACCTAACAACAACAACAACATGTATAGTAACATACCATTGGCAAATAGGGATAGTTTTACTTCTTCCTTACCAATATGGATGCCCTTTCTTTTTCTTTCCTTATTGCTCTAGCTAGAACTTTCAGCACAATGTCAAATAGGAGTGGTGTTAAAGGGTATCCTTGTCTTGTTCCTGTTCTCAGGGGGAATGTTTTCAGCCTCTCTCCATTGAGAATGATGTTGGCCATTGGTTTTGTATAGATGTCCTTTATTATGTTGAGGAATTTCCCTTCTATTCCTCTTTTATTGAGAGTTTTAATCAGGAACGGGTGTTGGACTTTGTCGAATGCCTTTTCTGTGTCAATGGAAATGACCATGTGATTCTTTCCTTTCCTTTTATTTATGTGGTGGATAACATTGATTGATTTTCTAATGTTGAACCATCCTTATATACCTAGTATGAATCCCACTTGGTCGTGGTGTATTATTTTTTTGATATGATGCTGAATTCTATTGGCTAGAATTTTGTTGAGAATTTTTGTATCTATATTCATGAGAGATATTGGTCTGTAATTTTCTTTTTTTGTGGTGTCTTTGCCTGCTTTTGTTATTAGGGTTATGCTGGCTTCATAGAATGAATCTGGAAGTACCCCTTCCTTTTCTATGTTCTGAAATAGTTTGAGTACTATTTGTATGAGCTCTTCTCTGACTGTTTGGTAGAATTCTCCTGTGAAGCCATCTGGGCTGGGACTTTTTTTTGTTGGAAGTTTTTTTTTTTTTTTTTACCTTTTTAATCTCCTGTTATGGGTCTGTTCAGATTTTCGAACTCGGTTTGTGTTAGTTTACATAAGTAGTGTGTTTCTAGAGATTTTTCCATTTCCTCTAGGTTTTCAAATTTGTTGGAGTGCAGTTTTTCACAGTACTCTGTTATGATCCTTTTTATTTCAGTTGAGTCCGTTGTAATGCCTCCCATTTCATTTCTTATTTGGGTTATTTGCGCCCTCTCCTGTTTTTCTTTAGTGAATTTCACCAGTGGTTTGTTGATTTTGTTGATCCTTTCAAAGAACCAACTTTTGGCTTTGTTGATTCTTTCTATTGTTCTTCTATTCTCTATTTCATTAATTTCTGCTCTGATCATTATTATTTCCTTTCTTCTGGTGGTTGTGGGCTTCTTTTGCTGTTCTCTTTTATTTGTTCCAGTTGTATTGCTAACATTTTGATTTTGTCCCTTTCTTCTTTTTTGATGTGCTCGTCTACTGCTATAAATTAGCCTCTGAGCACTGCCTTTGCTGTTTCCCAAAGGTTTTGGTATGATGTGTTTTCATTCTCATTCAATTCTAGGAATTTTCTGATTCCATCTTTGATTTCTTCTGTTACTCAGTGGTTTTTAAGCAGGCTGTTATTCAGTTTCCATGTATTTGATTTTTTTTTCCTTGCTCTTCCTTTTATTAATTTCTACTTTTATGGCATTGTGATCAGAGAAGATGCTTTGTATTATCTTAATGTTCTGGATTTTGTTGAGGGTTGCAATGTGGCCTAAAATGTCTATTCTGGAGAATGTTCCATGTGCGTTGGAAAACTTTCCTGCTCTTGGGTGGAATTTTCTACATATGGCTATGAAATCAAGTTAGTTGACTGTGGCCTTGAGATCTTCTGTATCTTTGCTGAGTTTCTTTTCAGGTGTTCTGTCCTTTACCGGGAGTCATGTGTTGAAGTCTCCTACTATTATTGTGGAACTGTCAGTTTCTCTTTTCAATGCTGTTAGAGTTTGTTTTATGTATTCTGGAGCCCTGTCATTGGGTACGTGGCTATTTACTATGGCTATGTCCTCATGGTGGATTGTCCCTTTAATCATTATATGAGGTCCTTCCTTGTTTTTTCTGGTGGACTTTGTTTTAAAGTCTATTTTATCTGAGGTTACTGTTGCCACTCCTTCTCAAATTTTTTGGTGGCTGTTTGCTTGATATATTTTTTCATCCTTTGATTTTTAACATATTTACATCTTGTTTCTAAGGTTTGTCTCTTGTAGACAGCATATTGATAGGTCTTGTTTTTTATCCATATTGCCTACAACTGCCTCCTTTGCCATGAGACCAGAACTGGATGGTGCCTGGCTACCATTACTGAATTTTTTGATCAAAGAGTCTATAAAAGAATCCTGATCAAAAGGGGAAAAATGCAGAACAGAATTTAAAATTTTATGGAATCCAGATTTTCTGGAGCCATTGAGGCTGGATGATACCCCCAAACTATTTCCCTGATATAATCTTAAAACTTAAAACAAGAAAACTATCTCCTGAAGTCTTCTTTGAACAAAAAAAAATAGCTTATCTTAATTAGTAAAGAGGAGATCTGGTGGCATAGTGGTTAAGAGGTTGGCTGCTAACCAAAACATCAGCATTTCAAATCCTCTAGCTGCTCCTTGGAATCCCTATGGAGCAGTTGTATTCTGTCCTATAGGGTTGCTATGAGTCAAAACTATAAATTCCTTGGAGCCTTGATGGCACAGTGGTTAAGAGCTATGGATGCTAACCAAAAGGTTGGCCTGTCCGAATCCACCAGCCGCTCCTTGAAAACCCTATTGGGGCAGTACTGCTCTGTACTATCGGAATTGACTCGATGGCAACAGGTTAATTAGTAACATACATCTACTTTGAGCATTGTGCTTTTAAAGAATTATCTATGTGAGATCAAACTGACAACAGGAATTTGAGAGGTTGGACGGGAAGCTTAGGGGGCAGTGAGTTTAAGATAATGGTGGTAGAATGAATAATCTGGAAAAGGATAGTGAGAATGGTAGCACAACTTGAAGAATGTGACCAATGTCTCTAAATTGTACATGAAGAAATTGTTGCAACGGTGTATCTTTGGCTGTGTATAATTTCACCAAAACAAAAATATTAAAAAAAAAATTGGGGGAAGAAAGTTTCATATTGGACTGATACATGGTACATACTATAATCAAAACTGGTTTGCCACTTCAAGGCATGGTCCAGCATCAACTTCTTTCAGTAGTTATAATTACTTACCTGGACCCAATTGGTATTAACCAGAACTTCTTGTTATTTCCAAACACCTGCTGGATATTTTTGATGAAGCCAAGGTTGAACCCATTTTTCTCTGGGCCACTTGTAAACACTGGAGTGCAGAAGGCCTCTAGGGAAGGGCAGGGAAGTTGGAGGAAAGAGGAAGAAGCAACAAAGAAACAAATTTCAGGACAGTTACGATTTTATAGTTCTCCATAAATGTGACTTGGTACTATAATATCTTTTTGCTGTGGTAACACAGGCTTCTCATTCTTAGCTATTGCTAAATTACATAGTAAAAACCAGTTTAATCACCTAATATAAAATAAGATTACTATTCAATATAAACAACTAGTATTTTGGTTTTTTGTTTGTTTGTTTAAAGGCAGAGGAAACATATGATGGTAGAAATAATTAAGCAGCCATGGGGGCAGTATGTATTTTGAACTGCTGGATGCGAAGGGTGAAAAAGCAAAATTAACAGCACTCTATTTGAATCTTAGTGGCAATAGCCAATTGGTCTCCATCTTTAGAGCTGGGAAACAAAGTAATGACACATAAAGAGATGATAATGACATTGATTTGGTTTTGAAACGTTTCAGGAATGAAAACATTCACACTGAGGGCTGCAATGTAAGAAACTAAGCTTTACTGCAGAGAAAATGTCAATGGGTGAACTATAATCACCTCAAAGAACATGAGGACTTGGACCATGTTGGTGCACATTATTTTTAGACACATATCGCATTAAACAAATACTTTCACTGTTGGACTCTGGCTGCATCTGACCATTTCCCATTTGTTCTTTGTTTTCAAAGACTCAGTTATCATGAAGCTTTTAGTAGTTTTCTACTTTGGAGCTGATCTCTAAGCCAAATGTGCTTATCTACCACTAAGTGCTACATATATATTTGGTTTACAAAATGGGTGCAAATACTTTCTTAGCTTTTAACATTATTAACAAATGAATTCCCAAAGTGTAGTGGCTTTTGCATTAAACTTTCCTCAATTGTATCCTAGTAAACATTCAACTCTTGGACACTTTCTTCTCACATCTCATGCACTGATTTGTACACAATGATGAAAAAATTGTTGCAGTGGAACCCATTAGAAATATAGATCTCCAAATAACAGCCCAGACTATACAGTCAGTAATGGACCAAAAGAATGGTCATTTCTTGTGCTCATTTTCTAGAGACTCATTTGTTTCATATAATGTGCTTTGTCTCATTCCTTTTTGAGTTCAACATTTGCCCTCATGGGTCCTTTGTGTTGCTGTTGTCGCTTTTTATCCCTCTCTAAACAAGCAGTAATCTCTTTCTGGAACACTTACTGATGGCTCTACTTATTTATCAAAAATATATTACTTTATTTTGCTAGTTACTTTTTTATATGTCTGTCCTGTATCCCAACTATTTTGTAAGCTTTCTGAAGGCAGGAACTTAGATATATAAACTTAGACAAGTAACCTTAAAGGTTTCCTTTGATAATGACCAACTGCATATCTAATAAACAACCGAGCCTTGCATATCCCTTTGTTGTCGTTGCAATGTTTCTTGCATCATTCCATCAATTATATCTCCAGTGCCTTTCTTTCAGTTCTAACTTGTCTAGATTCCTGCAGTGATCTCCTAGAGTCATCCCCCTTCAGGCCATCTTATATGCCCTTACAAAGCTAAGTTACCTAAAATATTACTTATTATGTCTTCCTAGTCTGGCACTTACTAATTTTTTTATGCCATATACCTTTCTGAACTCTCTGCTGATGCCAAACTTATTTACTTCTCCTCATCTCATTTCAACACACATCTGACCTATTCCTTTCCACCACGTGTCTGCTTTTTACTCCCAATCCCATTTTCTCGTCAAATCCTACCTATCCTTCAAGATCTAGCTCAGACCTCCCTCTCAAATCTGTAATAGTGCTTATGGCAGATATAGTTTGTATTATAATTAAGCACTGAATTTTTATCTAGTATGTTTCTTTTCATGTGTGTATGTCTCATCTCCATGGAAAGACTGTAAGCTCACTGAGGATAGGAATTTGTTTATATATTCTAGTATCTTTCATAGTCTCTACACAGCTCGTTGATGATTGTAGACATTCAGTGATTTATTGATTTGGATTCTTTCTCAGGGTTCTGTTTTTGGATATGTTTTATCTTTTATTGACCTTCGACCCCCTTTTCTGATGTTCTCTTCTGTACTGATTCTTTCTTTTCTTCTTTCACTTCCTCACATAAACACCTTTTAGAAATCTTTTGAGCTGTAATTCTGGGGTGCTATTACCCAATAGGAGCCTTGGTGGTACAGTGGTTAAGAGTTCGGCTGCCAATCAAAAGGTCAGCAGTCTGAATCCACCAGCTGCTCCTTGGAAACCCTATTAGGCAGTTCTACTCTGTCCTATGGGGTCGCTATGAGTCAGAATCAACTCAACAGCAATGAGTTTGATTTGGTTTTGATATTACCCAATATGAACTATAAAGAGCACCAGTCATTTTTGTTTTGTGTGGGGTTTCATTCACAAATACCCTCTTTAGTCTGTAAGCTTCATTCACTATGGCTCTCCAGTTTGATAAAAAGTATTTTCATCTGTCTCAGTTTGGAGCCAAAAGGATGACACTGCACCTAAAATGCTTCACTGGAAAATTTTCTCTTCCTTGGGAACAATCTATAGGTCATTCTGCTATACGTTAATGTTTGTTTTTTTCCTAGTCTAAATATCCAGTCTTACCTAAGGTGGTTTTGTTTCTGCTGACAAGCCAACAGTGGTAACCAAAGAGAATCACAAGGCTGACAAAAAACATGCAGGCCACAAAGAGGAGAAAAAGGACATGGAACTTGGAGCGAACACTGGGCAATTCCCCCTAGAAAAGAAATAATAAACAAACTAACAAACAAAACCAAAAGATTAAAGTGGCAAGGCTTGGCTAGTTTTTCTATCGACTTACAGCGACCCTATAGGACAGAGTAGAACTGCCCCATAGAGTTTCCAAGGAGCGCCTGGTGGATTTGAACTGCCGACCTTTTGGTTAGCAGCCATAGACCTTAACCACTACACCACCAAGGTTTCCATTTTTCTATATAGGTTAGTCATATCTTGATATGTATAAAATGTCTAGCTGTCATTTAAAATATAGATTTTGTAAAATATTTACAAAACAATTCCTTCTATTGATAACCTGAATACCTCATCATGGATATGCTCTCAGCCTACAAAGCCTGAAATGGATCCTTGTTTAAATGCAGTTCAGTGTAAAATAATGTAAACTGTACCAGTTAGAAAAGGGTAATATGAGAAGGATATACTTAGGCCAAAATTGACATGCAACCTCTTTAAAGCTTGTACTCCGTTTAATTTGATAATTATGAATCATTGGCTAATGGTGATCTTGAAGCAATATGGTTCATCCTCTTGTCTCAAGGTGGGCTATTCTAGAATTCTTTATATGTCATGTTTCTTTGAACATATGTGTGTTGAAAATGTCACAGTGGTATATGGAGGAAGTTAAAGCACATAGGTAGAATTTTAAAATGTCCTACCTGTAAGTCATGACTTGATTCTAAAGCTGCTGCAAATTTTGTGTAGCTGAAGTGAAATGTGTTGGTATACTACATCTCGTGGAACAGTTGCTTAGACAGTAAAACTCAAGTGAGATTTTGAAGACAATTTTGAAAGTAAGTGGCTAAACATTTCAATAAGAAGCTGGGGCATCTTTTTTCCATGTGGCATTGTTTTGGTCCGATGAATCTCTTTGAAATATTTTCAAATGCTTTCTAGTAGTAAAGTTAAAAAGTGATTCTTGAATGAGGTGGGCCTCAACATTCAGATCTGGTTCTACTCTAGTTTGGAAGGAGAAAATTAAGGGTTAGCAAGATGTGGTAAGATCAGATATTACAGATTTTTTTCTTCTCTTAGAGGAGATTTTTTATTCATTTTGATGTCAGGAAATATTGGGAATCATCCAGGATGTATATGTTTGAAGGATGACGATAAGGGGGAGTAAGCCAGACAGATGCTTTCAGCTGAGGGGTGCTCTGGTTGAAATTTTCCTAGGGGAACAGCAGCCCAGAAAATAGCTACTGGAAGGACTTCAACCTTCAGGAGTCTTTCTCAGAAACTAGGAGCACAGCTAGTTTCCCTGATATATGGCTTTAAAAATACACGGCATTGTTTACTTTTCATTTTAAGGGCAGACTCAATTTGGCCTAAGCATACAAGATGGATTTGATTGCTATTTTTGTTTGGTTTTGAATTTATAGGAAAGACTCCATGTATCAGTTTGTAGTGGTTTTTGCCTGGTTGGGTTTTTGCTTTCCTAATCTAATTTTTGAGTATTTTTTAAAAGCTTTAAAAAAATCACTTGTTTTACTTCTTTCACTTTTAAATGAGCAATAGAAAATGGGCAAGAGGGACCAATAGAAGGCCAGTCCACACCCTGTGTAGCTGAGCAGGAAGTCTCCACCCACCCCCAACTAATTACTCTTGTAGAGTTCCCTTCTGTCAATGCATATCTACTGTGCTGTCCCTTGATAAAGCCCTTAATATTGAACTTTTTGTGTTAGAAGAGGATGATAGCCCTATGTTCAGAATTACTTTCTCAAGAGATTACCAAACTAAATTAATCAAAGCAATACCCATATTCAGAGGAATACTGGTAGAAAAATGCAATTATCTTTTTTTCTAAAATAATTTACAGCCTTTCTGAGGACATTCATGGCTATGTATTACTGAATCTTTTTTGCATAAGGTAAAGATCAATCTCCCATCAAAGTAGCTATTCTTTAAGTTAATATTGAGAAGGGAGAAATTATCTGATAATCTTCTGAATTCTTTATTCCAAAAGAGCTAGAGCTTCTCCATAGCAGACTAGAAGCATAATGAGCAATAGGACATGGTACAGTGTTTAAGATCACTGGAATTAGGGCCAGACTTAGATTCAAGTCCTGACTTTGAAACTTACAAACTGTGTGGCCCTGGGAAAGACACTTTACTATCAGCCTTGGTTTAGTCATCTTTAAATGAGACTAATTCCTGCTTTGCCTACTTCACAGGGTTGTGGTGAGGATCAGATGATATAATGGATATGAGAGTACTTTGAAAAATGTAAAGTACCATATAGATGGAAGTGTTCTTAGGAGTACAGCTAGTCCCTGATATATGGCTTTAAAAATACATGGTATTGTTTACTTTTTGTTTTAAGAGCAGACTCAATTTAAACTGAGAAAGGCAACCCTAAACCACACTAAAGTACTTTCTGGCTGGAGAGAGTGCAAAGAAGCATTTCCCTGAACTGTAAATGCCCTTTTCATTATGAGGGCAAGCCAACACAGGTTTCCTCACCTCTCATCTGTCAGGCATCAGTTAGTCTATTGCGGAGAAGAAATGAGGGAATAGGAAAATGACAAGACTATATTCACCCAGGATACTGCTTGTGAATACTGGCACATTTCTGGTGATTATTTCATATCTAAATATCATCTTTCAAGAGTGAAGACAGCATACAGCACCTGGCTGACATTGTGGTATTTGATTATTGGCTGACTAGGAAAGTCCTGGTGGCACAGTGGTTAAGCATTAGGCTGCTAACCAAAAGGCTGGCAGTTTGAATCCATCAGCCACTCCTTGGAAACCCTATGGGGCAGTTCTACTCCGTCCTGTAGGGTCGCTATGAGTCAAAATCAGTTCGACAGCAATGGGTTTGGGTTTGATTTGATTTAAGAGAGCCAAAAGCAAAAAGTGTGAGATGCAACATTGTTTACTCTGTTACTGGGGTAAGGGTTGATTCTTAAACAGTAACTTACTGTGTTAAGGACCAGCAAAGGTCTTAAGAGAATGCTGTAGTGAAGATCAAGGTTGGTACTTTCCCTGACGAATGGATGAGGCAGATTTTCTTCACATCTAGGGTAGGAGCTCAGCACAAGGACAGAATGCCAAACAGGTCATAGAAACCTGAGCAATACATAAGAGGTCCTGTGCTGTGGAAAAGGGCCAAAGAAAAGATGCCAAGATAGCACGGTGAAGCATCTTGTATTTGAAGAAAATTTATGAGAAAATTTCATTTCTGCATAAATTTTTGTTTGTATCTTTGAGCTGTAGATTTTATAATTCCTGATAATTAAAGTTATTAAATATCTGAATTGATTAGGCAAGTTGAAGGAAGAATGGAAAGCACACATTACTATAATTTTCTATAGTCTTAATTATCAACGGACTATTAAATATTCTCAACTATTTAGGTTCTCACTGTCTTCCTTTTTTTCCCTCCAGCTTATTATAATCTATATTGTGGTGACAAGATTCATGTTCTTTCTCTGATGCTTTACCTCCCTACCTGACGTGAGATATGCCTGCTCTTCTGCAGTTATAGTAATTCTGCCCATATCTGTCTTCTGCTATTCAGGTTCAGTTTGGACAATCATCATGGCAAGGTTATGATGTCTTAGTAATTGTACTGGAATTGTGAAGAAGGGATATCTTTTGGAGCTCATTGGCATGAAATTAAAAATATATATATTTCTACTATACTGCTGCCAGACCATGGATACATATATGAACTAGAAAGCTGCCTTCAGTTGTTTGGAAATAGATGGGAGATGACTGATAAAACTCAAGTAGAAGAAAGATGAAAGTAGGATTTTTTTTTTTTTGAGATTTGATGATAATTACTGGAAACACATTTTGAAAGGTAAAGCACTTTTAACATCTATTTTACTTAGTCTTGGCAATGAGCCTGTGAAGCAGCTAACAGAGCTATCATTAACACCCAGTTCTCCTAATTCTCAAACTAGTGTTCTTTTCACACAAAGTTCAAATGAGACTCACCATTTCATTTTGGTCATATGTGAAGATGAGCAGTGAATCTTTCTGTTCTGTGGGAATGTTGCAACTCTCCTTTGAACAGGGAATTAGAAAGTATTTTCTAACAATGGGGGAGTGGTTTGTTACTCTTTTTCTTGTGAAACTAGGTATTTAGAATTAGTTTTAATATTTGTCAAATATATAATTGATAAGAAGTAGATTTTTAAAACTTGGCTAGTGAAGTACATTGTAAAGTACCAGTAGAATTCAAGAATTCCTGAAGGCCTTAAAAAGATTCTCTTGTGTTACAGAAGCTTGACTGGAATCTTTAAATAACATCCTTCTCATAAATCTCAAAGTATTAAACACAGAAAACTTGCTTTTGGTGGCTTCCTTTTCGGTTACTTCAGTATTAGCTACTCCAAAACATAAAAAAGCTAGGGTAAACTATTTCATAGATTGGAGTGTGTGTGTGGGGGTGGGGTGGGGGCGGGACTTCAGGAGTTTTAAACTTACTCTCCAGTATTTGATGAAATAGCTGAAGACTGTTGTAGCAATGTACAGGCAATAGAGAACAGAGTAAGCTAAGAATTGAAGGAAGAATTTGTAGTTGGAAAATCCAATGCAGTTATTAACCCTAAAAAAAAAGAAGAAGAAAGAAAAACTAATTTGAAATCAGGACCCACTGATTGAGAACACACTGATACGTAAGTGAACTAAACAATGGACACATGTTACTCCTGCTGCTTCATTATGTGTTGTGTAGAAACACACAGAGATTGAAATCTCTTAATAGGAACAGACCAGAAAAACAAGTTCACATCTTACTTGTTTCTCCTTTCATTTATAGGCACAGAGATACCTGGCCTACCTAATAGTTCTGAACTGATTTCCGACACACCCAAGCAAAGCTGGATCCTGGATACTGAAAACATATTACAGTCTTAGCAGCTGTACTTAGCATAATGTGGTCTCTCTGTGATTAGATGATTTGAAACTGATTCTCTAGGTGTGTCATACAAAATTTGGAGAACTGCTGAATTTAACAATCCTACCACAGAGTGGATTCAAACATCAAACCAGTTAAAAACAACTGAATTCTGTAATATCAACCAGAAGGAGTTGTGCTTTATTTCATTACTATGCCCAGTTGCTAAAGCTAATGGACAGGAGACTATTAGCTTTGTGACCCCAGAAATGCACTACCATAGCTTTGGTGGTATATTTATTCTTGCTGTAAAATGTTACTCCTCCTCTGTTCCCCCCCACAAATACAAAGCCCAGTGAATTATGGTGGCAGAAACAGGCACATTACAACGGTGCTTAGGAAAGCAGGCATATTAAGAAATTTTGACCCTTTTAGAGGAGAGAAATGAATAAAAGGGACATACCATGGGCAGTGATGGTCCATCTTTAATACACACCTACAAAAGGGACAAAATACAGTGTGATAAATGAGGCTATGGAAATGAAGCAACACCTTATAATTGCACTCAAGGTCTCACCAGTATTTTTACATATTTCCAGTACACCTATCCCCAGGTTTCCACTATGGCTACACCAAAACTATGTGTCCTCAGTTATTCCTAGATCAGGCAATCACAACAAGACTTTATAAAGTCATACTGGCCTCAACTTACATGCCTAGAAGTCCAACCTTTTAAAAGGAATTAAGAACTCCAGGATATTGATACAGAGAAAAGGTCCAAGATGACTCGTCTCATTTTTTTTTCAATACTCAATTTAATAAAAGTACTGAAGAAGGCATATGGCTATAACCTATGTTTGAATCAGGGGTAAGGGAAAAATAGTGGAACAAGTACCCAAGAAAAAAGGTGTGAAGATTATATTTATTAACATACAAATAGGGTTTTACAAAGCTGTAATGATTTGAGCAACCAAATAAATACAGTAGCATTGGGTTATAACACAAAGTATAAAATAAATATTCATGAGTCCATACTTATACAAATAAGTGAATGTCTTGGTTATCTAGTGCTACTCTAACAGATATACAATTGGATGGCTTTAACAAACAGAAACTTATTTCCTCACAGTACAGTAGGCTAGAAGCCAAATTCAGGGCTTCAGCTCCAGGGGAAGGCTTTCTCTCTCTGTCAGCTCTGGAGGAAGGTCCTTCTCATCAATCTTACCCTGCGTAGGAACCCCGGGTCCAAAGGATGCGCTCTGCTCCCAGTACTGCTTTCTTGGTGGTATGAGGTCCCCCACTCTCTACTCACTTCCCATTCCTTTTATCTCCTGTAAGATAAAAGGTGGTGCAGGCCACACCCCAGGGAAATACCCTTTACATTGGATCAGGGACATGACCTGAGCAAGGGTGTTACATCCCACCCTAATCTTCTTTAACATAATCTACTCTTGCCTCATTAACCACAAGCAGAGATAGGACTTACAACACATAGGAAAATTGTATCAATCACAAAATGGAGGACAACCACACAATACTGGGAATCATGGCCTAACCAAGTTGACACATTTTTGAGGGACACAATTCAATCCATGACAGTGACTGAATAAATAAGTGTGGGGAAAGAGACAAATCTACCATGCAGAAGAATTCCATATAATTTTTGTAGATATACCACCCTCAAGGAGGTGGAGCATAACTCTCCATTCCTTTAGTGTGGGCTGCACATTGTGATTTCCTTCCAAAGAGTGCAGTATGGAAAGAGAGAGAGAGAAAAAAAGAGTCATCTTGCAGTGGGAAAACCTGACAAATACTATCTCAGCCAGGTGACTGAGATTAATATTGAAAGTGATAAATCATGTTGATAGTAAGTATCCTTAATGTTATGTCATGAGAATGGTACTCTACCTCTGTGGTCTTCCTCCCTAAAACACATTTTTGTGTTGTTGTTATGTGCCATCGAGTCGGATCTGACTCACAGTGACCCTACATACAACATAACAAAACACTGCCCAGTCCTGTGCCATCCTCACAATCATTGATATGTTTGAACCCATTGTTGCAGCCACTTTGTCAATCCATCTCCTCGAGAGTTTTCCTCTTTTTCGCAGACCCTCTACCTTACCAAGCATGATGTCCTTCTCCAGGGACTGGTCCCTCCTGATAACATGTCCAAAGTACATGAGATTAAGTCTTGCCATCCTTGCTTCCAAGGAGCACTCTGGCTGTACATCTTCCAAGACAGACTTGTTCATTCTTCTGGCAGTCCACGGTAAACTGAATATTCTTTGCCAGCACCGTAATTCAAAGGCATCAATTCTTCTTAGGTCTTCCTTATCCATTGTCTAGCTTTCAGGTGCGTATGAAGCGATTGAAAATATCATGGCATGGGTCAGGCACACCTTAGTCCTCAAAGTAACATCTCTGTTTTTCAACATTTTAAACAAGTCTTTTGCTGCAGATTTGCCCAATGCAAAATGTCATTTGATTTCCTGACTGCTGCTTCCATGGGCATTGACTGTGGATCCAAGTAAAAATGAAATCCTTGACAATTTCAGTATTTTCTCCGTTTATCATGATTTTGGAAACCCTGTGGTGTAGTGGTTAAGAGCTACGGCTGCTAACCAAAAGGTCGGCAGTTTGAATCCATCAGGTGCTCCTTGGAAACCCTCTGGGGCAGTTCTACTCTGTCCTATAGGGTCACTATGATTTCTTTATGTTGAGGTGTAATCCATACCGAAGGCTGCAGTCTTTGATCTTCATCAGTAGGTGCTTCAAGTCCTCTTCACTTGCAGCAAGCAAGGTTGTGTCATCTGCCAATCGAAGGTTGTTAATGAGTCTTCCACCAATCCTGATGTCATGTTCTTCTTCATATAGTCTGGCTTCTCAGATTATTTGCTCAGTATACAGATTAAATGAGTATGGTGAAAGGATACAACCCTGACGCACACCTTTCCTGATTTTAAACCACGCAGTATCCCCTTGTTCTGTTTGAAAGGCTGCCTCTTAGGCTATGTACAGGTTCTGCATGACTACAATTAAGTGTCCTGGAATTCCCATTCTTTGCAATGTTATCCATAATTTGTTATGATCCACACAGTTGAATGCCTTTGCATAGTCAGTAAAACACAGGGAAACATCTTTCTAGTATTCTCCGCTTTAAGCCAAGATCCCTCTGACATAGGCAATGATAACCCTCCTTCCACGTCCTCTTCTGAATCCGGCTTGAAGTTCTGGCAGCTCCCTGTCGATGTACCGCTGTAATCGTTTTTGTGTGTGTGTGTGTGTGTGTTTTAGGTGAAAGTTTACAGTGCAAATTAGTTTCTCATTCGAAAATTCATACACAAATTGTTTAGGGACATTTGTTGCAATCCCCACAATGTGTCAGCACTCCCCCTCTCCCTTTACACCCTGGGTTCCCCTTGTCCATTCGTCTAGGTTTCCTGTCCCTTCCTGCCTTCTCGTCTTTGCTTTTGGGCAGGTGTTGCTTATTAGGTCTCCTATACTTGACTGAACTAAGAAGCACTTTCCTTATGTATGTTATTGTTTGTTTTATAGTCCTGTCTAATCTTTGGCTAAAAGGTGGACTTTGGGAGTGGCTTCAGTTCTGAGTTAGCAGGGTGTCCGGGGGCCATAGTTCTGGGGGTCCCTCCAGTCTCTGTCAGACCAGTAAGTCTGGTCTTTTTTTGTGAATTTGAATTTTGTTCTAAATTTTCTCCCTCTATGTCTGGAAGCCTCTATTGTGATCCCTGGTCAGAGAGGTCGGTGGTGGTACCAGGCACCATCTAGTTCTTCTGGGCTCAGGCTAGTGGAGGCTGTGGTTCATGTGGTCCATTAATCCTTTGGACTGGTATTTTCCTTGTGTCTTTGGTTTTCTTCATTCTCCTTTGTTCTGAATGGGATGGGACGAACAGATGTATTTTAGATGGCTGCTTGCAAGCTTTTCAGACCCCAGATGCTACTCACCCAAGTAAGATGTAGAACATTTTCTGTAAGAACTATGTTATGTCAATTGGCCTAGATGTCCCCCAAGATCATGGTCCCCAGCCCTCAGCCTCAGTAACTCAGTTCCACAAGGTGTTTGGATGTGTCTAGGAAGCTTCTCTTTGCCTTGGTCAAGTTGTGCTGACTTTCCCTATATTGTGTGTTGTCTTTTCCTTTCACCAAAGTTAACACTTGTCTACTATCTAGTTAGTGATTTCCCCTCCCCACCTCTCCTCTCCCTTGTAGCCATCAAAGATTTTTTTCTGTGTGTAAACCTTCTCTTGAGTTTTTATAATAGTGGTGTCATGAAATATTTGTCCTTTTGTGAGATTGACTTATTTCACTCAGCCTAATGCCCTCCAGATTCATCCACGTGAGATTTTTTGCAGATTCATCATTGTTCTTTACCATTGCTAGTATTCCATTGCATGTATGTACCATAATTTGTTTATCCATTCATCTGCTGATGAGCACTTAGGTTGTTTCCATCTGTTTGCTATTGTGAATAATGCTGCAATGAGCATGGGTGTACATATGTCTATTCGTGTGATACCTCTTATTTCTCCAGGATATATTCCTAGGAGTGGGATTGCTGGATCTACGGTATTTCTATTTCTAGCTTTTTAAGGAGGCTCCATATCATTCTCCATAGTGGTTATACCATTTTACTTTGCCACCAGCAGTGCATAAGAGTTGCAATTTCCTCACAACCTCTCCAACATTTGTTATTTTCTGTTTTTTTTATTCATGCCAGTAATGTCGAGGTGAGATGGTATCTCATTGTAATTTTGATTTGCATTTCTCTAATGGCTAATGATTGTGAACATTTCCTCATGTGTCTGTTAGCTGCCTGAATGTCTTCTTTGGTGAAGTGTCTGTTCATATCCTTTGCCCATTTTTAAACTGGATTATTTGTCTTTTTGTTATTGAGGTGTTGAAGTAGTCTACAGATTTTGGAGATTAGACACTTGTTGGATATAGTGTAGCCAAATTTTTTTTTTTGCCAGTCTGTAGGTTCTCTTTTTACTCTTTGGTGAAGTCTTTTGATAAGCATAAGTGTTTAATTTTCAGGAGCTCCCAGTTATCTAGTTTATCTTCTGGTGTTTGTGCACTGTTACAGTTTGTATTGAATTTATGGCACGTATCAGGGCCCTTATAGGGTCGCTGCAAGTCGGAATCGACTCGACAGCAGTGGGGTTTTTTTTTTTGTTTTGTTTTGTTTGTTTGGTATCAAGGCCCCTAGCATTGTCCTTGATTATTTTTCCATGATCTTTATTGGTTTTTAGGTTTTATATTTAAGTCTTTGATACATTTTGAGTTAGTTTTTGTGTATGGTGTGAGGTATGGGTCCTGTTTCTTTTTTTTTTACAGATGGACATTCAGTTTTGCCAGCACCATTTGTTTAAAACAAACAAACAAACAAACCTGTCTTTGCCCCATTTAGTGGACTTTGGTCCGTTGTCAAAGATCAGCTGACCATAGGTGGATGGATTTACATCTGGGTTCTCAATT